TTATGTATTCACTTATACTATCCCTTTTTTATTGTCTTAAGCACTTCTTCTGCTCCTCAGATACAAAAACAATTTTTGAGTACACAAAAAGAAAAGTACCTTCTCAGTCATTACTGATTTAATTTGAAAAGCAATAGAAGAAGGGTGAATGGCCACAAACTAAAAAAGAGTACACAAAATATATTGAAAGTATAATCAAGAAAAGAGGATCACATGTAGCACTGCAGAAATATTGAAAAGACCAAAGAAAAACCAAACAACCAACCAGAAAAGCCATAAAATAAAAGAGAACAAAACAAATTCAAAATAATAAAAAAATCCCAACCTCTCCATATGCTTTCATATCCCTACTTCTGCACTAGCATAGATTGCCACTGTTTTTTGAACATATTCCATTTTCTCATAACATATTTAGTGAAGGTATGAAGAGAGAGCTTTATTACTTAGCGCTTTTTCCCAAGAGACCCTGCCTGTCATTTCCAAAAGACTGATTTTCCCAAGTTTATTAACTTTACTCTGCTACACTGTTCCTTTCTGTGAGCTTGTGAACACTGTCATTTCAGAAACCCTTCCAACGCCTTGATAGGTCACTTCAACTTCTCCCTGCTTTCTCCCTGTGGAGTGAGAATGTAACCTAAAATAGTCACATTCTGTACCTCCTCCACCTTCTGAAACAAAAGCCTAGCTGTCAAGTGTGGCTTTACAGTGCCACTCAGGCTTGCTGTGACTTGTCAGGCTGTTTTCCCTCAATAATTGCAGTCTAACATTATCATTAGCTTCTGTGCTTTGGATAGCTCTTTGTATTTCTCAGGATCAGACATATGAAAAATAGAGGAACTTCTTGTTCATCTAATGATTAACCAGTGACATTGTGTATTTGAGTAAGTTTGAAAAGCAGCCAAAGTCTTGATGAGCTATTGAATATAGCAAGTGGGAAAACTTGTGGTTTAGTTAGACAGACTTTTCCATTTTTACTTATGCTGATAGTAGTGTATTTCATAAGCAATTGCATTGATTCGGCTCATTACTCCAGGTTTAGGGATAAACATCACCAGAAAGAAAACTTTGGCTGAAATAACAGGGGGAGGGAGGAGCATGTGAAATCAGTGACATGGCACTTAACTTTACATTTCTTAATTAAACAGTTCTCTCTGTAGCTACAATTATGGGACTTGCAATTAAAGACTGTAAAACCACATTAATGATTTATTCATGTCCAATGAGTAATTTAAACTGCTTAGATTAAGTATTTTTAATAAAATACAAATAGAGGATGAAAACACATCAGATAAAGCAAACCAAGATGGATAGCTACTACTATTTACATAAAAGTATGCAGCAGCACTGTTGATAAACATGTAACAGACAATATTTAATTACAATTTAATTGTGAAATACAAATGTACACTAGAGAATTTAAAGGTAGGATTTTCTTCAGTGTCGCTTGGCTCTCATAAAGTATAAGAGAATAGAGATCAGCTAGATACCAGAATGACATATATATTAGGATACATTGGAGATATTTTTGTCCTTCACTGCCCAATTCCTACAAATAGAAAAGAAATAGAACACTGTCTAAAATGTTTATCTAAAATTAAAAAATATTTTTGAAGTGCTCTTTTCTTTCTATTCACTATTAAAGAAGTCTAAACTTGTTTAAGTGTGGACATGAAAGTCCTCCAAATTATAGTGAAATCAATCCTCTACAAATTTGCAGTTTTACAGGTGTCTTCCTCAAAGCTCACACACAACTCAAATACTAATTTCAACCCATAAAGATAATTTCAATTGCATACATTATATTAAAAAATAGAAGTAGAAGATGGTGTAATCTTAGGAGTTTAAAGACTCCCACTGGATGAGCAGCAGTGAAGCAGCATGAAGTAAAAAAGCTAAGGTGCAGATGTCAGTGTAGGCAGGTGGTTGAGAAAAAGAAAAGAACAAGAAAAAGCTGCTGATAAATGAAGAACACTTGGTCTGAAGCCATATCTATGCATCAAGTCTAACTAGGACAGTCTGCAATTTACTTTAGTGTTTGTTGCCACGATCTGAGGGGCAGTGCCCTCCAACTGCGTGCAGATCCCATCACACACAGCTGCATGTGAAGATTTTGCTCAACAAGAACAGTTCTTCTCTACTGCCAGGACTTGGCAACAGCCACCTCCTGGTTGTTCTCTTGCCTGAGGGCCCAGCTGACATCTGAAAACCTAAACACAGTAAATGCATACATCACACCATGAAGAGGAACCATGGGTGCACCAGGAATGTTGGGAGCAACATTCGTAACTTGCTCCTGAGACTTATCTGGAGCACCACAGAAAAGCAGCAGAAACAAGTTGAGTCAAACATTTTGGGCTAGAAATAGCCCATGGGCTAATGGCTGCTCCTCCCTGTTCTCCAGATTCTATAACACATTAAAGCAACTTAAACAACCTACTTTGAGAGACTGAAATATTATGATTAATCACTTAAACATTGTTATAAAGGACTTTTTGCCCATTATGACAAAACTTTATAAGCTGCGACCACCCAAGTCTATCCTTGCCTGGATCCGCTTCCTTTTTGGAACTTTGGACTGTGAATTAAGCCACCTAAGGGAACTTGAGGTGGTAAGATAAAAGTGACACTATTGTCCAATTATTTCAGGTCTGGGGAGAAGTAAACAAGACTGAGGGAGTAGAATGCATTCACAAGAAAGCCACAACCAGCAGCTTTCCTGAATATCATCTCCAGCTGGGTTCAAAGTGGGGGAGCCCCACGGGCTCCTCTGCTGAGGCCAGGTTTGCATGCACTTCCCCCCAACCAGGATGGGGGAGGAGATGTTGTGTAGGGGACTGTTTGAACTATCTATCAGAAGTAAATAGTATTTTCTTCTTTTCAGTCCTGGACAGCAGAATATAGAACAGATAATGTTCAGAGCATAAAGTAGTGAACTAACCATCATTAAGATGGTCATTAACAAAACTCAGACACAGGGCAAGGGACCAAAGCAATTGTGTCAGAATTTATAAACATCTTCCATAGGTTAATGAAGCTGTTGGAACTTGTTGCATATGACAGAAGCAAGGGCCAAGCTAAATCCTTTTTAATTTTTTAAGGTCTTAGAAGTAGGGAACATTAATATTGACTGACATTTGAAGAAAAATAGGGCTATTTAAGAAAATGTTTCCCTTATATTCATACACACAGGCTTTGAGTTGTGCATAATACATAAAGGTAGAACACATTAATGAGCTAAGCTGATAGATTGATATTTATGACAGCTTATATCAGCTTTCACTGATATAACCACACTGTTACATCTCAATTTCAATAAAAACCGGAAAACCACACTCAGCCTGTACTATAGTAAGCCATCATATTTTCACTGCATGATCAAGCATAGTGCAGAGATCCCTGACTTAGCAGAGTCAAAGTGTTGACAGTGATTCAAACAGATATTCTTAGCTTGTATTATCCCTTTAAGAGCCAATAGCACTTGTGACTCTTTAGAATTCTAGAATGCGTATTTCTACAACCTCTTTTGGAGAAAACTTCAAACCAGGCATCTACAACATCCATAACATGGAAAATTTGAATGGGCAAAATTAGGAGATCCATAGAGAACAAGAAGCTTAAACACCTTTTTCCTACTACTATCAGCTAAATTCAGAGCATGTTTAAAATGCAGACTGCTTTTTGAGTCTCAGCTAACCTCCACCTCAAATGCAGACTGCTTTTTAAGTCTCAGATAAATTCAACCTTGTAGTAGAATTATATTAAGACACCTACCAAAATAAAACACTCCACTTCCAAGTGAACTTAAATAGTCTGAATTTAGAATTCTCTGAATTTAAATTGCTGACAGAACTTTCAAAATAAGAATAAAGAAGAAAAAAAACCCATATAATGGACATCAGTGCAGTTACTTTGCGTACACAACTACCAGACTTAAATGTACTCTTCAAATTTACTAATAATCAAACCTGAACTGGGATATCAGTACAGGCTGAGGGATGAAGGGTAGGAGAGCAGCCCTAGGAAGAAGGACACAGGATTAATAATGGATAAAAAGCTGGACATGGGCCAGCAATGGGCACTATCAGCCCAGAAGACCAACACTTCCTGAGCTGCATCCAAAGCAGTGTGGCCATCAGGGCAAGGGAGGTGATTCTGCCCCTCTGCTCTTCTCTGGTGAGACCCTACCTGGAACACTACATCCAGCTCTGGAGTCCCACCACAAGTAAGATATGGAATTGCTGGAGTCCAGAGGAGAGCCACAAAACTGATCAGAGGAGTTGAGCACTTCTCCTTGTGAAGAATACCTCTCTGTGCTGAGACAGTTTTGAGGCTGTTCATCCTGGAGAAGAGAAGGTTCTAGGGAGACCTCATTGCAGCCTTTCAGTGCTTAATAAGAATTTAGAAAGATAGAGACAAAATTTTAGCAGGGTCTGTGGAGATGGAACAAGAGGTGATGAATTTTAAAAAAAGAGAGGTGATTTAGACTACATATAAGGAAGAAGTTGTTTACTGTGGGAGTGATAAAACACACTGGAACAGGTTTGTCCAGAGAGGTGGTAGATGTCCTATCCCTGAAAACATTCAAGGTCAGGTTGGACAGGGCTTTTAGCAACCTGATGAAGTGGACCATGTCTGTGCCCATGGCAGGGAGGTTGAACTAGATGATCTCTAAAGGTCCCTTCCAACCCAAACTATGCTGTGATTCTGTAGTCTTGTAATAGTTAACTTCCTAATTGTTGGCCTTTGCTCAAGTCTCACACCGAAAACTGATTGCTTTCGATGTCTTTTCTCCCATGAGAGTTCTATGGTTCTCCCATACTGTTCCAGAGGATACCAAAAGTCAATGAATTTTATATGAACAAGACAGTGGTGTTTGCTTGCATTTTTTGGTGTGATTGGTTGTAATAGAGATCTGCCTGGTCCACCCTGTGTTTATTCTTTGTCTGCCTTACCTAAGAATCTGAGGACAAAAAAACAAGATGAGTGAACCACAACTAACCTTCATGTTAATCTCCATAAGCCTTCTTCTCCAACTTCCCATAAGGTCTCTCCAAACTTTCTTGAGGCTTGGCAGCAGTACAAGAAACCTGAAATACATACATTAGTGCCCACACTATTTTAGTAACTAAATGAAGAAAAATTCTGTACCATTTCCATTGCCTCTGAAACGTTATTTCAACACTCCAGAGCAGGGTACTACAGCAACTTAGCTAATGACCCTGTTGGGCTCAGTGACTCTGTGACTCTGTGTCACTACCCTTCCTAGGTTTCCACCAGTGTGAATGGATGTGCCAAACTCTGCAGCAAAAGCAGCCATCATTCCCTGTTTACCTACAAAGGTTTTTGTGCATTTGGCTGTTCACACATAGACCATACTGTTCTTAAACCATATTTTTGATTGCAGGCTATAAGTCATCATAAGAATATTATTTATATTTTTCAGAGTTTGCTACCTATGAAAATATTCCTACATCAAATTTCTCATTTAGCATCCTCCTGAGATGTTCAAAACTGTTGTCCTTTGCTGCTGGGTATGCAGAATTTAATGGTAGTATGTACTCATTAGTAAAATTGCTACCTATCAAAACCATTAATAAACCTTCAATCAGACATCACACTTCTCTAACAAAAAGCATACTTCAAAGACTTAGTTGTTAGTTAAAAACCTTACAATTACAAAATATACAATGAGCTTTGCAGTACAGCAATGCAATTTGTTTGTTTTCCTACCTCTGCGGTCTCCTCATGAATTGCCTGGCATTTGAGAAAGACCATAATGGTAGCAACAGCAGGAACACATTATGTTTTGTTCTTTTTCTGAAAGCTATTCATTCCTCAGAAACAGATTCACAGCTAAATTTCTATTTTACTCATAACACTATCAAATGGCAAAAAAAAACATGACCTTGTTCCATCAAATTTGAGAAAAATTTGCCAAGACACAAAAAAAAGTTGTAGACAATCCTGTATTTCAGGAGAACATACACAAGTTTTTGTATGTTCTGGAGCAGTTTGGATGTGCTACACTGATGCACCAACAGTTTAACATATTAAACATGAATAGGCCAGTTTGTATATTACATATTAATAACAGGAAAAAACAAGGGAGACCTTTGTATGCTTAGAAAATGTAGTAAATATGAGTAAAATAATTAGCTCATTGGAACATACTTGGCAAGGTAATTAAAATATGTAATATTACTTGGTATTTCTATATTATAACTTACCAGCCATACCAATAAGTGTGTACCATATTGCCTTTAGGGACATCTTTTAGACAGAAATTTTTAGATACCCAAAGTATGCATGCCTACCTTCTGTGACTCTACCTTCTTCATGTGTCATTCTATGCTCAACACCCAGCCCTAACTCCATTAATCTAAATTATCCCAGAAGTATTTTTTAGTGACAGAAGGATGGGAGATTTTTGTTAAAACCACCTTCCTCTTCTAAAGTGTCAATGAAGATAGTTGAAAGATAAATGGCTCAGTTAAATCATCTCTAATGGATATAAATACATTTAACTTTTTGTATTTCCTGCTGAAGAAGAATATTAATTTAAATGAACAAAGAAATATTAATGTAAATATGCTGAATGTTCATTGAAATATAAAATATTAAAATAAAATTCTGACTCATTTTTTAAAATGTTAGTGTAAAAGAATTTCTAAAACTAAATTATGATAGTGTCCAAGTCAGTTCCAAAATGTTACTGAGATTAATAGTGAAACCATTTATCAGAGTCTGTGTCCCTAAACAGTTCTTTCCAGACTTGCTCAAATAGAGTAGAATTGAATGGAAAATTGTTCCTCTGCCATGCCTACACTTACTAGGAGTTAAGTATGGTATCTCAGAGTGACAAACCTCTCTTAAAATATTAATTAGATAGAAATGCCAAAGGAACATTTTGCTCTCCTTAGAAAAGATTAATCTCTTAGCTAAATGCACATCTTTTGACATCCTTTAAAAACTTCCTTCTTTTCCAATATTTCTTTTTATTAACTTTTGAATCTTGTCAGTCAAGTCTGGCTTCATGGTCCCTACAGCATTCATGGATTATTAGAAGTACTTCTGGGTTTGATGCAAAAAGGCATTGAAAATGTGTGCACCTCAGACTGTTTCTGTGCTGTTGATATCGTAATGACATTATTACTTTTTTCAGAAGCCATTGATGTTTAGGATGTAATTGATCAATTTTATTTTTAGTTCATATTCATCTGCAGAGAAAAAGAACAGGAAAAAGCCCTAAAGAGTAATTTGAGTGTTTCTTGCAAACAACAAGGTGAAGCAGACTCAGTTAATCATGCAAAAACCATATCTTATACTCCAAGAAGTTCATTGGAGAGGAAACTATAAGCCCTGGTTTAAAATTAAGTTGAAATCTTCACGATCACTGCAGCATATGAAATATGTGTTTCTGAGATACCAAGAAATAGATAAAGAATGATGAGTTTGGCAAAAACACCCCAAACATATAACTAATTTTCATTCCTTCTCTGAACACTCTTAAATAGGCAGAGAATATCTAAATCTATTGTTTCTCTAAATCACTATGATTAGTGAGTATGCAGTGAAATACACAGATATACAGCCATGTTTTTTCTTTTCCCTCCACGAAAAAAAAATACAAAACAATACCAAAAACAACAATGAAACAAAAAAACTGTCACCCACACCAAAAAAAAAAAAAAAACCACCAAAAAACCTCTAACTCAAATGACAAAAGAATGTTAGACTACACCCAAAAGAGAACTGTGTTTATTTTGTAACATATTTACATCATACAAGTAAGCTGAGAGAGCAGCTCAGGTAAAGTTTGTAGAAGAGTTAATTGCACACTATTAGCAAGCAGTCTCAGTCTAACAGAAAAATTATTGAAATATCGGAAAACTTTACAAGAAGACAGGATTCAATAGGTTTTCTCCGAGGCTATGAAAGACACATTCATGGATGAGCTGCTAATATTTCCTCCATGGATTTCAACTGTTATTCTCACCATATTCCCATTTTCTCTCCCCTTGTCTTTCTCCCTAGAGGATTTTCTGCATCATTCTCATTCCTCCATGGACCTCACATCTCCATGTGAAACAGAAAGACATTGTTCTTACTGCTGAACCAAGGAATTCTTCAGTGTAAGCTTCATTACCAGCTCAAATCTTAACCCAGATTTATCAGCATGCTATCCAAAGTTAATGAGCCTACATTTTAACATCTCCAGACCCAGCCAGGGTTTGAGTGTCAGTGGAAAAGGCATGCAAGAACCAAGAAGGAAGCTGGACTGTGAATGAAACTTGAGTAATTTCTGAATTGTACTTCCCTCATCTTTATGGACAGGATCTGTTTCTCACTCAAAGATTTATTTATCTTAAAAATAAAAATGAATTTTTTAAAAAAGTAGCGATATTATCTCTTATTTCGTAGGCATCATAAATCATTCAGCTGTCAGCACATCACATAGTAAGAAGAAAGCACTGAACTGGTCAACCTGTATCAAAAGCCTTCTTTGTCTAGTGCTCAATTGTCACTGCTATTGTAAAGTCAGGGCAAGTCCCTAACACAGACCTTTTAACAGAAAATGTTTTACTTTTCCACTTGCTGCCACAAAGAATCCGATGATTGTTCTGAATGCTCACAAGATTACTCTACCATGGCTTTTCTAAAAGGGCATTTCCAGTCACAGAACAATAAAAAAAAGTTTATAATTTTAGGGTGTGTACATGAGCAAGCTTTTTTGAATTTGTCTGAGTTGCATTAATGTTGACTCTTTCAGAATATCAACGTATATGAGAAATCCAAAAGTATTTAGACATGATATAACTTCACTGTGAACTTTGGGTATCTATTTAAAGTAAATAATAGTGCTCCCTTTAAAAAGAAAATTGGTATAAATATAGACCTCAAAAATTTAAACATAATAAGTTCCACTAAATATTCCCCACAATTAAAAAAAGCTGCAGAAAGGAATGAAACCACACGAACTTACATTCAGAAACATAGATATGCAGCCTGAGGGGGAACTATCCCCTCTGGGAATGCACTCCTAAACAACATAACATTTGCATACAAGAAATAGATCACTCCTTGCAAGCCTTCCCAAAAATACCATTTTGGCTCATTTCAGAATTAAATTAGATAAGTATGCTTAAAGTATTTGCCTTGACATCAGAGTTTGTTAAGCATACCTTTTATGAGACAGTGATCAGAAAAAATACTCTAATTTTAAAAAGTGAATCTTTAGAAAAATATTTGACTCCTGATATTGGGAATTATAAACTAAGAATGACTGGGGTTTACTTCTTAGCATGGGAAGGAGCTCCTCCTGCTTATTTAGTCTGACCATGAATGCTATGATCTGGCTGCTAAGCAGTGCCAAATGCAGCCTTTTGCTTCTGGAGGACTTCCATTGAATACAATACAATACAATATCCTTTCCTGTAATTTCCTTAAAAGTATTTATTAATCTTGTGCCAAGAGGTGCCAGTATTGCTAAGTGGCAACATGCACCGGTATTAAGCTGTATAAAGTCAATCTCCAGTGCTGAGTTATAAAACCCTTCTAATACACAGGATGAACAGACTATTCTTTGAGATTACTATTGACACATTATTTCCAAAAAAAGGGATGATAGATCACTTCCATAATTATAGAGACACCTGACTTTAATCAATAGCAGGCAAAATTCATCCAGACTAATGCCGAAGTTCCCATTCAATCATAAGAGCTGTCATTTCACTTGAAAATTACTATGGATTCCATGATAAATAAAGCATCATGGGGAAGATCCATTAAACTTGACAAATTCAAGAGGAGTGCCAAGAAAACAACACAAATCAATATTTGATATTTATCAGTTTGACAAAAAGCATGTGATAGAAGGTACAGAAGAGGCTCATGAACACTCATTGCTTGATCCATTTTTTTTCTTAAAAACAGAGCCATATAATAACTCATCCTCAAATGTCATGTACAAAAAGATAATACTTGAGAAGAAAATCTAAACTACATGGCCTACTCTCAGCAGTGTCAGGTATGTCTGTGTTTTTTGCCCTATGTTTAATATCTTTTCAGTTTTGGCAAATGGCAGTGAGATCAGACCTCAGTGCATCTGCTGTCTATGATTCAGATGGCAGACTGTGTGAACTTTGCAAAGGGCAAGTCAAAGCCAAACACTACAGCATCTATTAGGAGTGTTTTGCTGATGACTGTGAAGTACAAATAGCCTATTCGTCGACAGAGTGCTCTTAATCATTCCTCTGAAAGTGCAAAGCACTGAGCAATTTATGGGCCAAATCGTGACTGGCTTGTAAGTAGCATGAGGGCACAAAAGCCCCTAAGGCTAAATAAACCAGCCTTGCTTTCAGCTTTGTGATCCTGAATATAGCCAGGATCCATAAACAAAGTTCTAGATATAAAACTTAAAGCTAATCAGAAGCCAAACATTTTATACAAATAAGATTCTCCTTCAATGTCCCCTTTCTCTTCCTACCAATGTCCCAAGCCCCCCACAGTTAAATCTCCTGTGGCTGCTTTAAAAAGAGGAAAGAACAGAGATCCTCTTAGAATCATAGTACTGTTAAGGTTGGGAAAGACCTCTAAGACCATTCAGTAAACCCTTTAATCCAGCACTGCTGTATTCACCACTAAACCATGTCTCTAAGTGCTGCATCCACATGTTTTTTAAACACTTCCAGGCATGATGATTCTACCCCCAACAGCTTGCTCCAAAGCCTGGTCAATCTTTTTGTTCAGGAGTTTTTCCTAATATCCAAGTTATCTCTTCCTGCCCAGTCACTTGTTACCTAGGAGAAGAGACCAGGCCCCACTTTGCTATAGCCTCCCTTTATGTGATTATAGAGGATGATTAAATCTTCCCTGAGCCTCCTTCTCTCCAGGCTAAAAATCCCCAGCTCCTTTAGCCACTTCTCATGAGACCTCCTCCAAAAGCACAGTGAAGGAGGAAACTTTGGTGTGATGTACTCTTCCACTGGCCCTGATAACCACTTTGACATCTCATGCCTTGGGACACTCCAACAAGATCCAACAAAATGCAATGCTCAGCACACAGCAGGTCCTCATGACTCAGCTGCTGTGGTCAGCAGTCCACTTTTGCAGAGTGGCAGAAATGTGAAGGACAGACGCTGCTGTGGCTATCAGCAGTCTTTCTCCTTCCTCTCCAGGGGTAAAATGACCTACACCACTTCATAGTTTATATGACAGTATATGACTTTATATGACAGTACAATGCAGTGGAATTAAAAGTATCCAGTAAAGGCTGGGTACATGGGTAATTTATGCACATGATGGTTTGATATAAATAGCCTGATGGTCTGATGGAGTTTCATGTACTTGGGCCAGGAGTTACACTTAAGCACTTAAACTTAGTATCTGCACAGCCATACTCACCCCAGTGCAACTCCTCAGTACCACAGTTTAGGTGCAGAGAAAGGATTGCAACATTGCAGTGTTGTTAGAGAAAAACTCTTGTCTGCCACGTGAACTTCCTGGAGCTCTCAGTCAGACATTGGTAAAGACATTAGCAGTAAAATTGCAGAATAATGTTAAAGAAATACTCATATACATTTGATTTTTCATAAAGTTATAGACAGTGTTACAGTGGCTGAAAACTAAAAATGTGCAGATATTTTGAAAAACTATAAATAAACATGGAATGCTTTCCATTACACAGTAAATGACCCCAAGACTGGAATCTGAGCCAAAACAGGAGATGATCATTCTGAAACAGCATGAGAAACAAATTATTCTGACGGACAAATAGGCTGAAGCTAAAAGTGCTGGGAAATTTCAAGACTTCCTGGAAAAGTTCAGGTGTGGCATCAGTGAAAGTTGTGCCATTGATTTCTTTTTAGTCAGTTTTTTTTCCAGGGAATTTATGGAGGAAGAACATTTTCTTAGAGGAGATGAGAATGCTAACAGCAAATGTAAGCAAAACAAATAAAAAAGCCAGGCAACAATCAGAAAAACAGATGGTATATTAACAGTGTGGAATTAGGGCATTGCCTATAGCAATTGCAGGTAGTGTTATTGATAGTCTTCTCTGAGTTCCACTAATTTCTGATTTTCAAGTCTTTAGCAGAGTCAAAATCTCAGTAAAAGTTTTCCATTTACCTAAGTTCCTTACTTTGCCTGGTCTAGTTAACAAAAAGGCAAAACATAAGGAAAATCCCATGCAACTTTACAGAGTGTGAACTTGGAAACTCAGAAATGGGACTATCCTGTTGTGGGTGGGTTTCTCACTCATGAGTTTCTCCAAGGCCTTTATCAATACAAAAGTGTCAGATCAGTGAGACTCCAAGTGCAAACTTGGAAACTAGTATACTTTTAAATTTAAAAACAATAAAAAAATAATAAAAAACTAGAGACATAAAGGATGACACAGAAGGGTTAGAGAAGGAAACCATCCTCCAGCAAACTGAAAAAGTCTGGAGCTTAAAAACCCTTATTCTGCTATAGGCCAAACTTATTTATAAACCAAAATTTCAATTTCAATTAAATTCAATAATTCTTCTTTCACTATTTTCATGCTTAATTTCAAATTTTATAAATTTTTATTATGAAGGAACAACTAGAATGATTTTCCATTTTCAAAGCAAAAGTATGAAATCTTAATTTTTTTTCTAAAACAAGTATTTCTTCTAAACTAAGGATTTCTCAAAAGCAAAGGGTTTTGTAATAAGTTTTAGTCTCTGTGAGTCAGTGTTGTCCAAGATTTGCATAGCAAAATGTCTTGCCAGCTCCACTTGGTCATGAAGGTTGCTTTCTAAGAAACCCCTAGTTTTACTGACTAAAGACTAGATGAATTCTCTTGCTCTTTCTGTGTTGGGGGAGAAAAAGACTTCACAGTGGTAAACTGTGTGTGGTAAGAGTGGTAAAGATTCAGTTTTCATCCCACACCCAGCCCCATTTATGCAAGATCTCTGAATCACAGCAGTGCTTCTCAAAACTGAGCATGAGCACAGGATTCTTTGCTAAGCTTAAAACCTACAGATGGATCCAAAGGTCAGGAAGTTGTAATTATAGAGGTTTGAGCTGTCCATCAGCCCAAAGCTTTACAGTTTCACTGAGATACAGCACATACCCTGTTTCAAAATGCTGCATTCTGAAATTAACACTGACAGTATTATTCTTTGCATATTTTTGATTAGCAAACAGTTAAGTGAATGTCTGAGGGATGAAATTTTTCCTTATTCCTGTCTGACTCCTTTCAACTTTTCCACTATTCTTCACTCTTTTCCTTTATCCATTGCAAATGGGAGAAAGTAGTGAAAGAAAGAAAATAAAACTCTTTTAACCCACCAGTGAATCTCCAAGAATACAAGCAAGCCTTTTGCATGAGTGAAAGATACCCAACTGATTTTTAGTTATGCATGTATATATATAAATTTATATACATATATATATCTCAAAGATGTCCCATGAAAATAATCTTATTTTAATATGTTGCAAGATTATGCATTGTGTATAGTTGCTGGAAGATATCCTGTTCTTGATTGTGACAGAGATTTTACTGTGTCAGCAGCCAACAGAAATCATAGACTTCAAGCAGGCATAGTGACAATACCATACTGACAAACCCTGCCTCCTTCTCCAAAGCCATATCACAGGAAGATCAATCACCTTGCCAAAATGTTGCTTTTTCTGAATAGCACGAGTTTAATATAGAGCAAGGTGGTTTACCCATCACTCTTGTAATTTAGCACAGAATATTTGCTAAACTTGTAATTTAGGACAGAATAGCAGTACTCACCTTCTGCAGAGCAGCAAATCTGTAGTCAAAATTTTACTTTGAAATTTTCCTCTGGAGAAACCATAACAAACTTTGTGTAACCATAGGAACACTGGAAACTAATTTAGGGATAGATTTGTTATTTGACACTCAAATGTTTTGGGGTTGAAAATGAAGCAGAATATAGATCTGAGGTTGGCTTCTGTCTCATCAGCATGATTCTCTTCAGCATTTTCTCATGGCCTCCTCAGGCAGCCAGGACGGAATGTTCTTTTACTAAAAATGATATACTACATGTCACTCTAAGTATCCTTGCAAGAGCTTCTGTTGGAAGAATTTCCAGCAATATCTGCAGTTCTTTCATGTTCTCAAAGTCATTAATTGCCCATGACTTTCCAGTCCTCCAAGTTCCCTAGAAAGTGTAATATCAGCATATCTTGACCTTGAACTTCACAGCAAGACAAGAAGGTAAATGGCTGTTCATCATTATTTGAATAATCTCAGAGTGTGACTTCAGGAGTGAATCTTGCATATTTCCTACCTCTTCTGGTATCCTGGCTTACAAAACCAAAATATTTATTGCAGCATTAAAAAAATATAAAATTAAACCAACTAGGTAAGGCAGAAGAGCATTCCAGTGTGCACTGTGAGAGAGCATTCCAGACTTTGGTTGAACATTGGTTTATCACCCATATGAAGAGAATGTTCTAAACAATCTTGGCAATTAGCTTTTATGCACCTTGAACTGAAAAAATATTTGAGGAAAATGGGTCAAACGATGAACTCGAACTTTTAGGCAGAAGAAACCTGCCATAAGCAACATTCTCCTGGGCACAACAACTTCTCAGTAAATTTCATGGCCTGCATTACAAGCTTCTATTGCTTCATTCTTTCATCCAAAAAATGTATATCTATATCAGAAAAAGGAATAATTGATGTCAAATCAATTCTAATATTTCCTATCTTACACAATACAAACTCAAATCTAAAATGCTCTAATACTCAGTGTTCAAACTTGAAAACAGCAATTCTGCCTAGGAAAACCTAACTGAAAATTCCCCATACAGTGTAGAGAGGGCTTTGCTATCCTTCACTACTTTTATCTTCTCCCTGTCCTGTGCAGTCACCTCTTAGAAGAAATGCTGAGGATTCTGTGCTGGCTTAAAATGAAGTGTGAAATTAAGAGAAAGTGTTGCTATAGCAAAAATCTATTAATTTTTTTTCCCTGACAGTACCAGATACAAACTCAAATTTGATTCTTGGATAAAGAAAAATCTTAATATGCCTTTTTACTTAACTCAGTACATTAATAAAAAAATTTAAAATCACTTTAATGGTTAATTTGCAGCTACCTCAAATTATCAAGTTTTCCTTTCTATCAAGTTTTTTGGTGTCATGAACTTTCTTAAACACCTTAAGAGCATTTAGAAGAAATGTCTAGTAAATTCATTAAACCCTGGTACTCCATAATTGCGAATCTCTTCACATTAATTGTTCCTTTCAGATGGATGATATTCTACAAGCCTTTGAAGTAATTTAACACTCATGATTCAAGGTTTAAAAATTCTTATGCTTTTCATTAATGCAAAAAACATATTTTAATGAGACAATTCTGCTTGTAATCCCTCACAGTATTTAGTTAAAATATGAAAAGAGGAAGATGGCCTTACAGAAAGCCATCACGCATGTAATGACACATCAGTTAGTTAATCTTGAGGTGGTTTGGGTAGAAAATTGCCTTGTTTTCACTATAAACAACACTAAAGTTTTCACACAAAAGTTCTTGGTATATTTGGTATTGATAACTAAAAACAAAGAAAGAAAACAACACTGCATTTACAGCAGCTGATGAGACTTTTGTAAGCTTTATAGTGAAAAGACACTCACAGAAAGGGTTCCCTGTATGGAGCAACATTTTTTTGATAAACTCTATTTTCAAAAGTGAAAATGTGAGTGCATGCATCTCACAGCATTTTATGACAGTAAAGATATTTCCAAACTAAGCACTTTTGTCCAGAGTTCCAAAAATCATCATTTCATTTTAATACTTCATAGTACCTTTTATCACAGAATTGAACAAAATTCAGGATATGCAGTGCTATCATAAAGAGAAGCCAAGCATCTTACCATAAGACTCTGTTTACAGAAAGAAAACAGGCATGATTTAGAGAGCAAATGAATGAATGTTCTGAAAACACTCACATATAAAGGACTCAAAGAACTAATAAGCACTTATTTCTCAAAGTTCTGAAAACCTGTGTAGCACATCTGAAAATCTGTTTAGCAAATTTTGAATAGAATTGCCAAGTGGCATACTGTCAGCTTTAACTTTTTTATTTTGATTTTAATATTTGAATACAATTTAAATTTCATTTCTTTGAAATTTTACTCTTTGGCATTTTTAGAAAAATTCTATTTAGATGCAAAAGAACACTAAGCCACAAAAACTGTATGTAGCTAAAAATAAATTGGAATCAAGATTTGAAAGAAACAAGCCTATTAGCAGCCCAGTGATGTGCAGTATTATGTATTTAAAGTGTAAATTTTACAAAGTCATTAAAGTAATTTAGATAATATCCATATAAATCTTCCTTTGTGAAGCCTACCCAAAAAATCCTAATATTTAACACTGAAATGTCTTGAAGTGCTTTTTTGAACTCCAGAAAACTGGAGCTAATACAAAATATCAGTGTCTTGGCACATTTACGGATGGATGGATGGATGGATGGATAAACATTTAAAAGTGATAACTGCAGATGCAAATAAAGGTGTAAAGCTTTGTTAAACTTTGGAATAGCTGCCCATGGAGGGGGTGAAGCCACAGTCTCTGGAGGTGTTCAAGAAACCAGTGGATGTGACACTCAGTGCTATGTTCTAGTTGATAACGTGGTGATCATTTAAAGATTGGACTTGATGGTCTTTTCCCACCATACAGATTCTGTGATTGTGATCTCCTGTATTCACATGCTGGTTAATGGTAAAGCTGCATTATATTAAATTTCCAGAATTCCTTGTGCACTTTCTCCAACATGAAACTAATCTAAATTCTTACCTTTGCCTCTAAAGAATTTCCAGAAGTCTGCTCTATGACTTTGATCTTCTGTACCTTTACAAATATTGGCAGGTACTTTTTCTTGTCCATCCAACCAAAGCAGAACTTAAATTAGCCTCTTCCATAACATTTCTTCACAGATGGTGCTAGAGTGTCTCTGGGGATCAGCAGCACATTCATTCTCACTGCTCTGGCACACACATACCCTGTGGTTGACCAAACAAACTGGAAACTTTCCAGATAGCATCCCACAATGTAAACTGGACAAGTCAGCCATGCCTAAGACTGCAAAAGAAAGTTAACACTGTCACCTTTTAAAGGGAGAATGAGGGCAAGGAATGGTACATTTTGTGGGAATCACACTCAGAAATCTTCAGAATGAGATTTTTGTTGCTTAAAAATGATTAGAGAAGTTAATGGAGTAGAATATGTAAGGGGATTTCATCTTGCTTATCAGCAGAGACAATATTGTCACTTTGGGATTAAGCCCTAATAATGAGTAAATACACAGAGCACATTAACTAGGTATCTAATTATCACTAGCTAGAGAAAAATGCTGTTTGCAGAGTGGCAGATATTAAAAAGCTGAATAGAAGAGATACTAATTTAGTGATCTGAAAGACAGTGAGTAATTTTGAAAGCTGCTCATGATATAACCATGTAGACGCAGCATCTGTTCAACCTAAGCAAAACAACAGTAATAGCATGTGTGACAAGGTGAGAAAAATCCATTCGGCAAGGGCTAGACCTATCCTGAGGAAGTTATTGGACAACATCCGAGGACAGCAAGTTAACAGCTTCACACTTATTTTCTTCATGGTACAAAAGCACTACAATAATTCATTAGACAGATGGTTTCAAAGCAGAACAATTAGAGGGGAGAGAGAGCAGCCCTGTCTGAGCTCACAGGTTTGACTACACTAGCCAGAAGAAGGGCTGGCAAGAAGAGCTAGAGAGGATGGAAGCTATTTGCCAAAATGCAGGTAACAAACTGCTAAGAAAGCATGAAACCTACACAAGAGGCTTCTATCATTTGTTTGCAGCCAAAGCCGGTAACATATCTTTCCCATCATTAGCTCTTCTCTATTTTTCTGCAAGACAAATTTCATAAGGGAATTTATCAGGCTGGCAGACTCACCTAATCAGCTCTGAACCACCTATTGATCCCAGGTTTTCAAGGAAAGCACTTTTAGCTCTCTCTGGCATATCACTAAAAGTAGGTAAGGAAATCTTGGCAAGAAATTGCAGAGGCTGTTTACATATCAGAAACTATATGTGAAGAAAATCAGAATTAACGGAGATTTTATTGTTTTTTAAATAAATATAAGAATTGATTTGACCTAATGGAAAAAATCCCAGCACAAAGATCCATAAAGAACATTTTTCAAAGACAGGGAAAAGGATTTTTCAAATTTTTTCCTCCCTTCCCTCTAATTAGGAGAAAAATCCCTAATAAAAACAAGACAGAAATTGATGTTGGCTAACCCTGGCCATTGGCTTTAACTAGACAAGTTGGTTGTCTCTTCCTTCTTACAAAGGAAACACAACATATTGATCATGTCATTGATTAGATTATCTTTATAATCTCTCTTAGAGATAAAATCTACATCATTATACAAAGGTTTTAAAAACACTGACATGAATGTAACAAGAATATAGACAGAATGGAAGACACGATCCTCCAAAAACCTAATGACTTCTTAGTAAAGAAGTCATTCTTTGTTACTCAAAGATTACTCAGTGTAATATCTTGTGAATGTATAATTTGGGGTTTTTTTCCCCAGCTTTATAGCTATGTAAAGAGGTAGCTAATTTCTGTACTGACTCAGGAAACAACACAAAGTGGGACACTAAGTTTTACATATTTTTGTTTGCTCGTCTTGCTCTTTCATTACGCTGGGGAAACATACAGCAGCTTAGATTTCAAGAAGAAATACCAGTTTTGCAAAGTAGTTCCAGAAACCAAGAAAAGTTTGAGATTACTCAGAAGCTTCTTGAAGAAACTTCTGAGATTAATTTTTAAAAAGTTTACTAAGATCAAGGTGGACTAAAGATTCAAAGCCTTCCTTTTTTTCAGTGCTTTTCTTAATAGGTTTTCTTGTGTTTGAAGTTAGAGGCATTCAGGATATAACCAGTTGTTCTGGTGACTGGCATTTAACATCACTGGCACCATCTCTCTAAATTAACCAGTCAAAAAACTCCAAAACCAAAACAGAGAAAAAAAGGAGTTATTTTCAGTAAATACCAAGCAGATATGATTTAATTCATAATTGTAAATGGCTATATTAAAGGAAAAGATATCGAAAACATGCAGCAGCACATTCAGTGGAGTTTAGTGCTATTTCATAGAGTCAAGAATCCATTATGGTGGAAAGCCTTGCCAAAGGTGCGAAGACAGTGCATTGCCTTGCTCAATAAGGGACACAACACACCTGGACAGCACTAGGTACAGGGTTGCTGCAGCTCTGCCCACAAGTTGTAAAGAATTATGTTATGTAAACTCTGGCTCTGGGCTGATACTCAGTGTTCAGGGATATTCATGTGTTTCATGAGAGAGAAGGGAAATAACCCCAAAAGTGGGAACAAGAGAAAATTCTTTTGTTTGAACAGGTGAGTTAGTGCACATTCTGGATGAGAAGCAGAAAGGTGTTTCTGTTTTTTGGCTGAGGCAGAATGAGGAAGGAATATGCAAGGGAGTAAAACCAGTTTATTGCATCTAAGACAGCAGGGAACCTATGTCCATGTCTGCTGCTATAGATCTTAGGATCACAAACTTGGATTTCCTTTAAAGTTCCCTTCTTGACTTGTATCTGTTAAAATTCTGTGGTTTTAATTAGGCTCCTTTCCACATTAATACAGTACAAATTAAACATTACAAAAATATTGGTTATCTACCTTTTCACCTAATACAGCTTCTCCTTCCTTCCATATTACCCAGCAATAGTAACAAAATTTATGAAAAAGGTCAAAGGAATCAATTCAGAGGATGAAAGTAATGTCAATAATTTTTTTTTTTAGGAATAATTTTACTCTGAACACAACTCATTTTTCTCTGATGTTTAAGGTTAAAACTACAGTATAAGTAATATTGAATCAGATGTTAGAAATCCATGCCAATCTGCAAAAGAAAATTAAAAAATAAATCTAAAGCAATTTTAGAGGCTTTGGATTCTAAGATTAGAGGTAAGCCCTGATATATATGGAAGAAAAACAGAAGGATTATTTCTCAATAAAAATCAATCCCATGGGGAAAAAACAGACAAACAAACAAAAAAGCCCACACATGGACATATTTTCTATATCTTTCTCTGAATATTTAATCTTTTCCTATGAGAATCAGTCAGAAGCACAAAGGAAAGTCTTCAAGATTGTTAAAAAAATTGAAAGAAACAAACGAAGCATAAAAGCACTATTATATTAAAGCTCAAATCCTTACATTTACACTGAGAGATTTAAAACTAAGAAAAAAAGAAGCTGGATAAAAGATTAAATAAGGGATTTAAATAGACAGTAGGTTATGTATACAAATTATGACTTGTGAAGTCCATTCATATAGTCTTAGGATCAAGGGCAGATTAGTTCATTGAAAATCCAAACCAACCAAACAGAAAACCTCTAGTGAACTGCAAGTAGAGGTACTAAGATTTCCTTGCAGGGCTGCCCTCCTTCCATCCTCTCCCCTTTTTCCCTAGGGATAATACAATATTCTGAATATAGATTTCACAGCACAGAAACACAAGTAAATTACTCAAGACACCATGTGCCCTTTGATATGCTACTGCACATTGCAATTGATAGTCACAGAAAATGTCACGGACTGTTGAGGGCAATTTAAGAAATCTAAAGAACAGTATTTGCTTCTTATCACACTTTCCTGCTCTCCTCAATATAAAACATAGTGAGACATCCTGATGTACCAGCCTCATTTTTTTTAATGCCAAAAGAAAGAAGATGGCAGCAGTTAAAAGCTGAGAAAGGGGGAACAGTTTGGAGAAGGGTCTTACTCACCAGAACTCCACAATCCATTGTCCATTCAGCTTAGCCACTGTGATTTGAGGTCCATTTTTATGAAAGGAGCTTTTCTTCACCTATGTATTCATCATAAAGAAGTAAATATATTTGACTATTGCACACAGTCCATAATCAGAAGGATATTTTCCTGTATATAAGGTAAATTCATCAAAGATTAAACTTGAAAAAAGCTTGATTTGGTGTCTTGATGCACTGTTTACCTCGATTTTATTAATGAATGTCCCTCCCTCTTTGTACAATTTCCTTTCTTTTGCCAGACATGTAACAGCATTCACAAGAGATGCTCTCCCACTAATTAATAACAGAAATTCCTTTGCCTATCACTCATAAAAATGTTAATTAAAATTAGTAGCAACAGAAGACCTGTGTATGTGCGTGTATTTGATTAGTTGTACTGGATGGAGCTAATTAGTGCCAGATAAAGTGCATCCAGTAAAGTCCTCCATGTGCTTAGATTGATCTTTTTGACCATCAACAGATGCGCAGGAAGCCAGAAGGTCAGTGGTCAGATGCATAGCGGTTGCTAAAGGAGCAGCTGTCAAGGTCCAGTGATCATGCCATTTTGAGAAAGCTGGAAAACCTCTCCCAAGAGAATGAAGTGTTGAAGAAAGGGCTGCAAGCAGGGACATAGTGCCTTAAATTTGGAAGTTAGAACTGTAACTCGACAGCTGGTTGAGCAGCCCGTGCACCAGCCATGGTGCCTGCCTGTGGAGAGCTCCTAACCCGCCTCTTGGCCTTACAACATGTCAGGAGTGTGCTTCTGCTTCAGGAGAGACTGGAATTTTCTCCAGAGGCATTCAGGGAATTCATTAGAGGGGAAATTTTAGTATAAACTACTGCTTATAAAGTGGGGAAAAAAACAAACAAACAAAAAAAAAACCTCACAAAAAAAAAACAAAAAAAAAAAAGAGTTGAAGTTGACTGTGGAGTGTCAGTGTAAAAGGTAATCAAACATGCTGGGCAGTCATATCAAGAGATTTCCGAGATTTCCACTCACTGCTCGTGAATACTGCCAGCACTTCATACTTCTGGTGGTGATGGTCTGTCATGACTGCATGGATTCCTGGCAGTCTTTCAGCAAATGGTAGGACACCTCAGAAAAATAGCATTATATCAACAACAACAAGAACAACAACAACAAAAAAAACAAAAACCCAAACAAACAAAGAGAAAAAAAAAATTCCTTCAAAAACAGTAGGAAAAATCTGCATTCATTTACCATAGAAGATTACATC